GAATCCTCATGAGAATCAATCGAGGATAGTGGATGCAGTCATGGATTTTATATCTGCAACAGGATTAGCCCTGATGAATGATGGTGTCATAAAATGATAACCGAGATTGAACTGTGGGAGGCAGCAATGTGCCGAAAGGCATCTAGCCTGCCGGAAAGCTAGAAGAAGAAGAAGAAGACTCATTCATTCATTTTGTGTTTCTTTAGTTATTTACAGTGCTTTAACGCCATCTACCGAACACTTGTGGGAACGACAGTTTTGGTGTACTGTTTCTATTTCCTGTTGTATTCTCGTTTGGAACGAGATTAGTGTTTAGTTATGCCGCATTCCAGGCAACCTGTAACCCGTGTTTTTCCAACCTTATACCCGTGAAAGTGCACTGGAACGGCAGTCAAACCCGTGACTTCCCACCCGTGAACTCGTACTAGATCGATGTACTCCCAGTTACGAGTTCTGACGTCACATAGCCCGCAAAACCATACAAAACAACAATGGCAGCCCCTACGGATGCAGTGTTTCTGCAGGCGGTACACAGTGAGAATACACTTTAGGACAATATAACGTTGCAGTCAAATTAATAATAATATAATAATAATGATAATAATACACACACGATTATGTATTACAATGTTATGTGTCTGAAACAATAAGTATGTATATACACACAGGATTATGAATTACAATGTTATGTGTCTGAAAAAATAAGTATGTATATTGCGCTCAGGTAGTTTGGCGTGACGGGCCTAGAATGCTACAAAGTCGTGAGTCGTGGTTTGAAGTCGTGATTTACGTGCTCAAAAACCTGCCTGGAACGCAGCATAAGTACACGACTTTTCCGGAGCGAGTTGTACTCCGTGTTGTGTCTATTCTGCTTTCAAGTTTCTTCAAACCCGCTCAGTTGTGTTTTCCCTCGGGAGCAATGCCGGTGAGTAGCACTGTGTGTAATATTAGTCGTTTTCTTAAGATGTGTAAGAAGAAAATGAACGTGTTGCCACGAAGTGTAGATTCCTCTGTTTTTCGTGTAATGGCGGTTCATGCTTAGTAGAAAACAATGTATGTGTTGCATTTGGTTTTGGAAATGATTGAAGAAGACAATTTGAGTTAATAGATACTTTTATTTGTGTTTGCAGTTTTACAGCTTGTTTTTTGCACTGCTAAAGGAGAGGAGAAAAAGGATCTCAAGATAAAGCATCATCTCATTTCTTTGTTCACCACACCTGGCTGTTTATACGCGCTGGATAGCAATATACGCATACGTTTAGTGAGGCCAGTACAGCGATCGTAAAAGTGACTTTGTATTGCAAACAAAACAGAACCAAATGTACACGTTTTATTAACTAAATATAGATATTTATATGAATATAAATAAACTAAACAACATACAGAACGGAAAACGGAACTATTGAGAAGTTCCATGTAAGTATATGAGAAAAACATCAGCATTTCATTTTCAAAGCATCAAAGTATACTTGCATGCCTGGGTAGCGTACAGCTATTATCAAAGTTGTTGAAAACTGAAGTTGTTGATGATTCTGCGAGTGTCAGATCTTGAGGTCTCAATCATTTTCTTCTTTGTTGGATGAAGAAGATATGATGAACTTATGGTGGGTTAGAGTCCTTGTTACAAACTCCTGAGATTGTCCTTGGTTCTTTGTGAGAGAGTGTCCTCTCTCTTCTATGAGGCCGGATCTGGTTGGGATATAGGTCTGCTGGGAGGCCTCTGGGCCCCCATGGAGGGGCGAGGGGGTTCCCCCGTATCACCCGAAACAGTGTTTGCGGCAGGATGAAAACTACCAAGAGCGGGCGGTCACTGTTGCCTGCCTCTGATATAGCCTGAGAAAGAACCACCCCCTAAGGTTTGAATGGACCAATGAGTAAGGTGACATGTCCGAGAGGGGAACCGGCTCTTAGTTGATTTATGGTCTTTGTCCCCAGCGTGCTTAGACTGTTCATTCAAGCTCAAATAGACATAACAAATTCACATTGCATTCTAAGAGAAGGTGATGTACATCAAAGTGTGTGTCATTAAATGAGGATTAATTAGGTAGGAAGCATGATACAGGTGAGGTTATATTGACCGTTGGGTGGTTGTGCAACCACATACACCCCAATCAAACATACCATGTTGTTACATAATAGTACACGAGACAGTAAATCATCACAGTTTCTGTGAGGCATGTTCCTTCATAGATCAGAGTAATACCGCAAAGTTTATTTAATTAAAGATTGTCTCTCTCTCTTAAGCATGTGGCGCATGTGGCCACATTCCTTTGAGGTCGTAAAAGTCTGTTATCAGTCTTAAGACAAGTGTTCTGTAACCGGACACCCGGCTGACATATATTCATAGATATATATAAATATGATTAATAAGAATAATTGGTGTGTGTCTGATTGGTCCAGACCCTACACGCACTACAAACTCTTGTTTCATCTCCAGGTCCGCTTTCAGTTGCTGTAACAGCAGGAATATCAGCAGTTCTTCTTCTCGTAGCTGTGACAGCTGGTGTGATGTACTATCGCCACCAGAGCTCTGGAAGAGGCAAGTATTACAGATATTATAGTGAGAGCGAATTATTGTGTGTGTGTGTGTGTGTGTGTGTGTGTGTGTGTGTGTGTGTGTGTGTGTGTGTGTGTGTGTGTGTGTGTGTGTGTGTGTGTGATGTGTTTTCATTCAAGTCATCTATTTAGACATTAAACAAATAATCATGACTAAATCAGAAAATATATTAGCATTCTGCTGAAAACAAGAGAAGAAAAAAAAGATTTGGGCACATATAACTTTATTCATCACTAATCTTTCCACTGACTGGATAGAGTTTCCATCAAAATGACCCCGATGGGAAATAAACATTTCAGACTGAATCTTACTGACTGATTGATGGCAGATTTGCTGGTTTCATGAGTTTCTGTGACAGTTACTGCTGTTCATTTCTCTCTCTTTAAAAATCTGTAATTTATTGTTTCCAGATGGAGAAAGATCATGTGATCTGAGAGAATCACAACCGGATAATTGTATCTGACTATTCCCATTGGATCAGCAAAATACGCTATATCTGTTGAGGTGTAACTTTACTTATTAATCATAAAATGAATTAATTAATATCAATATGTGTTATGATTGAATCATGTTATGGAAATAATAACCTACCTGTTGGAAACACATATAATTTAATTAGGACATTTAGATGAACTTAACTTACATTATCTGACAGTTTCAGCTTATAAACCTGGAATAGATTAACATTTCTCATTTCTCATGCTTAATTGTAATAAGTGTCTTGTTTGAAATTATGTATTAGTGGAAGAGGTTTGTGTTCAGCGGTTTGTTGAAGGTTGAGAAGGAGTTCAGTGTTTTATCTATAATGCTGTATATAAACTGAGACAGTCTCGTATACTGAATTTAGCATTTGAGTTATAAATGAGGATGATATCAGCTGATTGTATGCAGAGTTTTCCAGCAGGAGATTCCTGCCAGTCCTGTTCCCTCTAAGTTAATTGAGTCAGACTACTGAAACTATCAGACCCCATTTACACCTGGTATTAAAATGTAATCTGTATCCATATAAGTTATCCGGATAATAAAAAAACGCATGTTAATGCAAGGTGTAAATACGTTGTGATCGGATTGTGATCGGATCTGCCTGACCACATCTGGAGGTAGTCTGGCTCGCATTGTGTTCGGATCTTTACTAGGTGTAAACGCAATCCGTACGACGTGATGGCATTCGTACCTGCCAAACGTCATCCTCTGCCCGCGAAAACCACACCCCTCAGAAGTAACGTTAAGCTAAACATCCACAGAGACCGGTTCACTGTCGTAGCATTCACAGTAGCCGCAAAAACAACAGCTGCAAACAGGGCCTGTCGTCTTTTCTGTTTGCTCCTAATAGAAAAACGTTGAAAATGACCCCTACCGCGACAGAGAAAAAGTAGAAACAGGCGGTACAGTAATAGCATCTCTAACGATCCTACACCTGCCATGTTGACAAACTACAGCTGATTTCCCGCCACCTCAGTGCTCAAGCGCAGGTGTCACTCTGGAGGACAGAGATCCGAACTCAATGTGGATAACGAGAACGCATTAAAAATACAAGGTGTAAACGCAAAGGTAAGATCAGAACACTTATTATCCGGATAACTTTTCTGGATACAGATCGCATTTTAATAGCAGGTGTAAATGGGGCTTCAGTCTTTGCTAATGAGATCAGGGCTGGGGAATTTCCGGTAACAGGCTGACTTCTGTACTTTATTTACATGCTTTGTTCAGATTGTCTCTACCTCTATGTAATCCCTCCCCCTTGAAAGGTATATAAACTACAATGTATACTGCCTTAGTGAGATTTGGACGACTACAGCATTGCAACAGCAAAGTCCTCAATAAAGAGTAACTTCTGCTTGAAAGATATCCCAACGTCTCCTGGTCTCTGAAGAAAAAGTTTCCAACAATAGCGTGTTCAGTCTATACATGGTCAAACAGCATCAGTCCACAATGATGTTACGGTTCCTCAAACTCACCGCTAGAGGTCATCACAGATTTACAACATAATATTTACTCTTGACACTACTCAGATATCTAAATACAACTTGAAGAAAATAGGCTATATAAACCATAAACAAGAGTCAATAATGAGAATAATGCGATTAAACAAAAAGCAATATAAAACAAATGATACAGGAATATTACATAAAACGTGCGAAAAAAAGCACTGTCTCTACCCCATGTTTTTGAGAGAACAAAATCGTCACATCCTGGAATCTGGCGTAAAGTATCAATAATAAAAATGAAAGTTGAGGAAACTGGCGAAGCCACTGTGGATCTTTCTCCTACATAATAAATTATGTACAGTAGCCTACTTGTGACTCATTATATTTCATTCCTCAAACAGTGTGGTTTATTTTTACATCAAATTAAAAATATTTTTTTTATAAACTTGATCAATCAATTTGCACCTACAAATTAGCTCTTGTTGGTTTTATTGAAAACTGTATTTTAATTAAAACTCCACGTTATGTCAGAACTTTTATGATGGGCCTATCTGTTTCTTGACTCCTCTTGTTGTCTTGATGTCATAGAGCAGAACAGTGACAGTAGCCACGCCCACCAGAGCAGAGACGACCAATCGGATCACAGCTTCAGTAGAACCACAGCAATGAACATGGACTTCTGAGAGAGAGAAAAAACAATGATAAAATAGAATTTAAAAAAAGATACAGATTATGTCATTGTGACGAAAATCTAATTTTGCCAAACAGAAGAATATTGTGCTTATTTTTTGGTGTGTGGGGGGTTGCGCTGTGTTACCTGCACATGTGTGGCAGAGTGTGTTGATGTCCAGATGTGTGGTCTGGTTGCTGATGGGATTGTTCAGCACACAGCTGTAGGGGTTTTTATCCTGATATTCCACCTCCAGAGGTAGAGAGAGACTGATGCTGAGATCACACACACTGATGCTGGACAATACACTCATTCCTGCGTACCAGGAGAGAGTCGCATCACTCACATTCATCACTGATGAACACACCAATGAACATGATGATGATGATAAAGAACAGTGTGAAGAGTTACTGATGATGACAGGAACAGGCAGACGAGCTGGAAAACATGAGAGAATAAAGAGAAACGTGGATTATAACAATAAATAACAACAGATTGTCGTCTGTTAAATCATGAAGTGACAAATAAACCTCTCAACTCACCATAGACAGAAACGTTAAATGTTTTTGATATCAGTTTCACTCCCCTAATAAGTAGTTGATAAACTCCAGCATGTTCAGTTGTGGGGTTTGTGATGGTCAGAGATCCAGTTTGATCGTCCAGCTTCAGTCTGTCTCTGAATCTCCCATCAAGAACATCATCATATGTGGAGAAGATTCGGTTCTCTCTGCTGATTTCAGCTATCAGAGTGTTTTCAGCTCCAAATTTCCACAGTATGTCATCGTTTTCACGTATTTTGGTAACATCAGTCTGAAAAGTGGCTGAATATCCCTCCATCACTGACACTGACTCACCGAACACACCTGAAGAACATTAAGGCTCTTGTTGGTTTACAAAGTCTAAAATCAGTTGTAATTTGTAATGTTTGGATGTGAACCAACATCCATGACTTTTGTTGTTGTTCATGATTACTGCAATTTTCTGCAAATTTGTTGTTAGAGATTTCCATTTGTATGTCATACCATCTGCTAAATAAATAAATATTTATGTAACAATCTTTAAAGTTAAGATATTCTGAGAAAAATGCACTATTCTTAACAAGCTTTAAAATTAAGTTTGAGAAATTGAAATTCACTATAATAAGTTTCATTATATTCCTGTGAGACCCTGTGCACCAAAACGAAGACCACAAACACAGACCTGAATCTGTAACATTGACATTAAGCCATAAAAATGCTGTTATAACTTACCAATCAGACGCCACCAGCACAAACAGAACAAAACACACTTGTGAGACATTTTCTTTAACGGTTCAGAGAATAGTCTGACCTAAAAAGACTATCCGCTGATTTAAACAAACCCAGAATATCTGGCGTGTGATTCCTCCCCGTCAGAGTTTGAAGACCCTCCTAGTTCACACACACAAACACACACACACTGATGTTATAGTTCTGTATGGCAAAACGTAAAAAAAAAAAAAAGTTAAAACAATTTCTCATTGCCAGTCTTGTTGAGGTTAGACTCTAGCAGCTCATCTTTCAGTCAAACTGAAACCTGTTGAGGTCGCTTTTCTACGGAAATGTGATTTGATCTGACAAATAGTTTGTATGTGGCCATTGAATAGATGTGTGTTGTAATTCGTAGGTGGAGAGCTTCTTCCTGTCCTGCTTTTGTTAACCTCACTCTCTGACTTCCTCTCAAGACAAAACTGCTTTACCTTGAAATAAAGTACCAAAGCTGATAATCTCTCAAATGAACCTATAACACTCTGAACAGAAAAATGACCATTTACCCTTTAATCTACAGACATTAAACCTTGATGAGAAACTTTGAAAAAAGCACATTGCTGCGGTACACTGGCGAGGATACTAGATTATTAAAAAATTAATAATAAAAAGGAACTTCTGGTTTGTAGAATGAATATATATATATATATATATATATTCATTCTACAAACCAGAAGTTCCTTTTTGATGAACGCTGGAGCCGAGTCTGCGCAGTGATGAACGCTGGACCCGAGTCTGCGCAGTGATGAACGCTGGACACGAGTCTGCGCAGTGATGAACGCTGGACCCGAGTCTGCGCAGTGATGAACGCTGGACCCGAGTCTGCGCAGTGATGAACGCTGGACCCGAGTCTGCGCAGTGATGAACGCTGGAGCCGAGTCTGCGCAGTGATGAACGCTGGAGCCGAGTCTGCGCAGTGATGAACGCTGGACCCGAGTCTGCGCAGTGATGAACGCTGGAGCCGAGTCTGCGCAGTGATGAACGCTGGAGCCGAGTCTGCGCAGTGATGAACGCTGGACACGAGTCTGCGCAGTGATGAACGCTGGACCCGAGTCTGCGCAGTGATGAACGCTGGACCCGAGTCTGCGCAGTGATGAACGCTGGACCCGAGTCTGCGCAGTGATGAACGCTGGACCCGAGTCTGCGCAGTGATGAACGCTGGAGCCGAGTCTGCGCAGTGATGAACGCTGGAGCCGAGTCTGCGCAGTGATGAACGCTGGACCCGAGTCTGCGCAGTGATGAACGCTGGAGCCGAGTCTGCGCAGTGATGAACGCTGGAGCCGAGTCTGCGCAGTGATGAACGCTGGACCTGAGTCTGCGCAGTGATGAACGCTGGACCCGAGTCTGCGCAGTGATGAACGCTGGAGCCGAGTCTGCGCAGTGATGAACGCTGGAGCTGAGTCTGCGCAGTGATGAACGCTGGAGCCGAGTCTGCGCAGTGATGAACGCTGGAGCCGAGTCTGCGCAGTGATGAACGCTGGACCCGAGTCTGCGCAGTGATGAACGCTGGACCCGAGTCTGCGCAGTGATGAACGCTGGACCCGAGTCTGCGCAGTGATGAACGCTGGACCCGAGTCTGCGCAGTGATGAACGCTGGACCCGAGTCTGCGCAGTGATGAACGCTGGACCCGAGTCTGCGCAGTGATGAACGCTGGACCCGAGTCTGCGCAGTGATGAACGCTGGACCCGAGTCTGCGCAATGATGAACGCTGGACCCGAGTCTGCGCAGTGATGAACGCTGGAGCCGAGTCTGCGCAGTGATGAACGCTGGACCCGAGTCTGCGCAGTGATGAACGCTGGACCCGAGTCTGCGCAGTGATGAACGCTGGACCCGAGTCTGCGCAGTGATGAACGCTGGAGCTGAGTCTGCGCAGTGATGAACGCTGGACCTGAGTCTGCGCAGTAATGAACGCTGGACCCGAGTCTGCGCAGTGATGAACGCTGGACCCGAGTCTGCGCAGTGATGAACGCTGGACCCGAGTCTGCGCAGTGATGAACGCTGGACCTGAGTCTGCGCAGTGATGAACGCTGGACCCGAGTCTGCGCAGTGATGAACGCTGGAACCGAGTCTGTGCAGTGATGAACGCTGGAGCCGAGTCTGCGCAGTGATGAACGCTGGAGCTGAGTCTGCGCAGTGATGAACGCTGGAGCCGAGTCTGCGCAGTGATGAACGCTGGAGCTGAGTCTGCGCAGTGATGAACGCTGGACCCGAGTCTGCGCAGTGATGAACGCTGGAGCCGAGTCTGCGCATTGATGAACGCTGGACCTGAGTCTGCGCAGTGATGAACGCTGGACCCGAGTCTGCGCAGTGATGAATGCTGGACCCGAGTCTGCGCATTGATGAACGCTGGACCCGAGTCTGCGCAGTGATGAACGCTGGACCCGAGTCTGCGCAGTGATGAACGCTGGACCCGAGTCTGCGCAGTGATGAACGCTGGACCTGAGTCTGCGCAGTGATGAACGCTGGACCCAAGTCTGCGCAGTGATGAACGCTGGACCCGAGTCTGCGCAGTGATGAACGCTGGACCCGAGTCTGCGCAGTGATGAACGCTGGACCCGAGTCTGCGCAGTGATGAACGCTGGACCTGAGTCTGGACCCGAGTCTGCGCAGTGATGAACGCTGGACCCGAGTCTGCGCAGTGATGAACGCTGGAGCCGAGTCTGCGCAGTGATGAACGCTGGACCCGAGTCTGCGCATTGATGAACCTGCGCAGTGATGAACGCTGGACCCGAGTCTGCGCAGTGATGAACGCTGGAGCCGAGTCTGCGCAGTGATGAACGCTGGACCCGAGTCTGCGCAGTGATGAACGCTGGAGCCGAGTCTGCGCAGTGATGAACGCTGGACCTGAGTCTGCGCAGTGATGAACGCTGGACCCGAGTCTGCGCAGTGATGAACGCTGGAGCCGAGTCTGCGCAGTGATGAACGCTGGAGCCGAGTCTGCGCAGTGATGAACGCTGGACCCAAGTCTGCGCAGTGATGAACGCTGGACCCGAGTCTGCGCAGTGATGAACGCTGGACCCGAGTCTGCGCAGTGATGAACGCTGGACCCGAGTCTGCGCAGTGATGAACGCTGGACCCGAGTCTGCGCAGTGATGAACGCTGGAGCCGAGTCTGCGCAGTGATGAACGCTGGACCCGAGTCTGCGCATTGATGAACCTGCGCAGTGATGAACGCTGGACCCGAGTCTGCGCAGTGATGAACGCTGGACCCGAGTCTGCGCAGTGATGAACGCTGGAGCCGAGTCTGCGCAGTGATGAACGCTGGACCCGAGTCTGCGCAGTGATGAACGCTGGACCCGAGTCTGCGCAGTGATGAACGCTGGAGCCGAGTCTGCGCAGTGATGAACGCTGGACCTGAGTCTGCGCAGTGATGAACGCTGGACCCGAGTCTGCGCAGTGATGAACGCTGGAGCCGAGTCTGCGCAGTGATGAACGCTGGAGCCGAGTCTGCGCAGTGATGAACGCTGGACCCAAGTCTGCGCAGTGATGAACGCTGGACCCGAGTCTGCGCAGTGAACGCTGGAGCCGAGTCTGCGCAGTGATGAACGCTGGAGCTGAGTCTGCGCAGTGATGAACGCTGGACCCGAGTCTGCGCAGTGATGAACGCTGGACCTGAGTCTGCGCAGTGATGAACGCTGGAGCCGAGTCTGCGCAGTGATGAACGCTGGAGCCGAGTCTGCGCAGTGATGAACGCTGGACCCGAGTCTGCGCAGTGATGAACGCTGGACCCGAGTCTGCGCAGTGATGAACGCTGGACCTGAGTCTGCGCAGTGATGAACGCTGGACCCGAGTCTGCGCAGTGATGAACGCTGGACCCGAGTCTGCGCAGTGATGAACGCTGGACCCGAGTCTGCGCAGTGATGAACGCTGGACCTGAGTCTGCGCAGTGATGAACGCTGGACCCGAGTCTGCGCAGTGATGAACGCTGGAACCGAGTCTGCGCAGTGATGAACGCTGGAGCCGAGTCTGCGCAGTGATGAACGCTGGAGCTGAGTCTGCGCAGTGATGAACACTGGAGCCGAGTCTGCGCAGTGATGAACGCTGGAGCGGAGTCTGCGCAGTGATGAACGCTGGACCCGAGTCTGCGCAGTGATGAACGCTGGAGCCGAGTCTGCGCATTGATGAACGCTGGACCTGAGTCTGCGCAGTGATGAACGCTGGACCCGAGTCTGCGCAGTGATGAATGCTGGACCCGAGTCTGCGCAGTGATGAACGCTGGACCCGAGTCTGCGCAGTGATGAACGCTGGACCCGAGTCTGCGCAGTGATGAACGCTGGACCCGAGTCTGCGCAGTGATGAACGCTGGACCCGAGTCTGCGCAGTGATGAACGCTGGAGCTGAGTCTGCGCAGTGATGAACACTGGAGCCGAGTCTGCGCAGTGATGAACGCTGGACCTGAGTCTGCGCAGTGATGAACGCTGGACCCGAGTCTGCGCAGTGATGAACGCTGGAGCCGAGTCTGCGCAGTGATGAACGCTGGAGCCGAGTCTGCGCAGTGATGAACGCTGGACCCAAGTCTGCGCAGTGATGAACGCTGGACCCGAGTCTGCGCAGTGATGAACGCTG